TGATGATGAGATGTAGTAAGCCGGTTAACCTCTTCCATGAGCCAGATGCTGGCTTCGGCTTTACAAGGATGGATTATGGTATCCAATGGAATTTGTTCGTCCTTGCCTCCAATCCTGGACTGATCCCATTGTTTTAAGCTAATATTGGTGAGGTAGTGTAGAGGTTGTCCATATAATTGCTTAATGGATCGGCCTAGTCCTATCCACGAGGTAAAGGGAATAAGGGAGCCACGCAGAGTTGGTACAGGGATCAGGTTCATGTATTCTTGGTACACTTCTGCTCTTCTGAGCAGCCAATCTGCATAGCAAAGTACAGTTTATGTATATTGATGAATTAAAACACAATAAACTATGATCTTGTATTTCATGAAAGTGGCAAATATGCAGAAGGATTAAAAATCACAGCATCAATTGACGCTTTTGCCTTTAGCAGTCACAATGGTAAATATTTGAAGCAACAAGAATGCCGACATTGACAAAACAAGTCCAGCCTTGCCTAACTTGCAACACAATTTCGGAACACGATGTCGTCTAGCATCTAAATACATAGATACAGCCCACACACAAAAGCTTTAAAACCGAAAAAAGGTGCACCCGTCATTTTAACATGGATTTGTTTTTTTCGATTTTTTTTTTTTTTTTTGGGTGTGGTGTTTAATGAGCATATAACCACTTCCTTTGACTATAAATCACATAATTTGTTCGACAGGGATCATGTTCGTGCTGCAGATACCCAAGGGATCAGAAGGTTCCCCGGGAAACAAAGCAACCACCCACTTTATCAGACACTAGCGAAAGAAGAAACATAACTCTTGATGCATGTAAGTTTCTATTACCTATTAAATGGAGCTAGCACAGACAGATGAAACTCTAAAAGGTCTCAGATGGAAATATCTTTACATAGATACAAGTTCTGTACGCAAAAAACAACCCAAATGCAGCCCACGCCTGCCTATGCTTGCAATACCAAATGTATTCCAATAAGCGCACAAATGTGTACATGAGCCATTTGCATTCCTACATGTTCGGTGAGCTTATTAAGAATATATATAATTTTTTCCTCTATCAATTAAAAATCTAAGGTGATCTACCTAGCAAATAAATGTATCACTCAAGCAGATATTTATATGCAATAAATTAATTACATAGAGTAGATTTGGTTACTCATATATGGCTGTTTACTTGAGCACAAAAAAAAAAAACTATTTGATCAGAAATTGGTTTGGCAAAAAAAGTGTTAAAAATATATATTTTTATACTAAAGAAAAAGTTTATAATACACTAAAGAAGTTAATTATATATAGCAGCCTACTCACCAAAAAGAAGGAAAAAGATTATTACATTACTATAAATAATGATGATGATGATGATGATGATTGAGTTTTCAAATTAACTTATATTTGTTCCTTACGAGCATGTTTGCTGTATATTTTTTAAGAATAGATATTTTGAAAAGTGATATTTTGAATAATTTGTGGTTAAAAAGTAGGGAGAAGTTATGGATCCACGTGCAAAATTATTTTGTTCGGAGAATGTGTGGTTGAAAATAAGCTTGGGAAAAAAGAGTTTTAAAGAATATGTACCAAACATGGGCTAAATGTTAAAGTATTATTAATAAGTTAAAACCATACTCATTGATGAACAGGCATCAAAATCAAGTACCTTTTGTTCTTTTCAGTAAAAACATTATTCAGTTCAAAATTTGCCAGTGTACTCTACCAAAATTTATCAATTACATGCACATCCAGATAACATGTATCAATAGATATCAAATGAGGTTTTTGATGGAGATGTAAATTTTGAATACTAAAATATGAGCTGCCCTAAAAATGCTTGAAGCAAGAAGAAAATTTCAAATAACAAACAATAGGATATTCCTCAAAGCTGCATGATGAATTGCAAATTTTATGATTTTATTAATGTTGACAGTATACGAGCATAAAATTCAGTAATAGCTACAAGGAAAAAAGATTGATAGGTGATGAAGAGACAGATGAAGCCAAAGCAGACCTGCATTTCAATAGCAACACATAATTTTTCATTACCTTCCGATGTTAATTTCTGGGCAGGTTGGTCCATTGCATAATCTGCATTTGGCTGCTTGCACTCTTCAATGTCATCATCTGCATCAGGGGAAGAATCCTCTGAAGAAATCTCCACCTGTTCTGGCATTGCCCTATTCATCGTGACTATAGTATGCCATCACAACAAAAATTAGTCTTGCATAATAGAAACAGATAACCTTAGTATACAAACTAGAAGAAACTGAAAGGAAAGTGAGCAAAGAAAATCCTCAATTAAATTGATTGATCTGATCAAATACACAGACAATTACATACATGTATACTAAACAGAAAACTATCAATCATAGTTGTTAAAAGGTATGCCTAATGGCAAAGCAGAGAGACGATCCAGTTCCACTTTGATAATGTAGAAGCTGATAAATAGGTAAAGGACAAATAGAAGAAGACAAAAAGAATTGAAAGAGAAAACTGTGTTTCTTCCTTACGTTGTTCATTGAGTAAACATCATTAAAATAGGCAAAATTACAATGGATAATACCAAGAAAATAGCAACAAACTCTGACGACTAACTTAAACATGTAATCATGCAAACTTACTCCTACAGACCATTAACTATAACAATAAAAATGAAATAAATAAATACATGAAAGTGCCTACGAAATAGGACAAAGAAAAACAACCCATTATTGACCAAGTCATTCAACAATCCCTCCCTCAAACTAAAAGTTTTCAAACTTTCAATATAAAAAATATCAGCAACGAATTTTCTTCAAACTGGACTTTCCAAAGTAGAAACGCCAAGCAGATTTTGAAGCTTCACGAACGATGCTATTTTGAGAGGCTTGGACATTATATTAGCAATTTGGTTTTCACTCCTGCAGTAAGAAAGACCAATGACTCCATTCTTCGTGAGATCTCTTAAAAAGTGATACTTCACATCAATATGCTTGTTTCTTCCATGTAGAACATGATTTTTGGAGAGCTTTATTGCTGAACTGTTGTCACAATAAATTGCAGTGGCTCCTTCTTGCTTGCAATGAAGCTCTTCAAGAATTTTCCTCAACCAGATAGCTTGACAAGCACATGCTATTGCAGCAACAAACTATGTTTCAATTGTTGATAAAGTAACAATTGCTTGCTTCTTTGAAGACCATGAAATAGCTCTCGAGCCCATCAAAAAAACATATCTAGATGTGCTTCTTCTATCATCTGGATCTCCGCCATAATCAATGTCAGTAAATCTAACTAAATTTGCCTTTTCTCCCTTCTGGTAGAATAGCCCGAAATCAGTTGTACCTTGCAAGTACCGAAAAATTCTCTTTGCAGCAAGAAGATGCATCTCCATTGGACATTCTATATACCTGCTAATGAGACAACATGCTTTATATGAGGCCTTGTTACAGTCAAATACATTAAACTTCTCACAATTTGCTTGTATAGAGTGTTGTCCACCTTTCTTCCTTCAACATCTTTCATCAGCTTTAAACTAAACTCAATTGGTGTGTTAACAGAATTGCAATTCTTCATCTGAAAGTGCATCTCCCTTGTACATTCCATATTGCTAATGAGACTTACATCATGCATTATATGAGGCCTTGTTGCAGTCAAATACATTAAACTTCCCACCATTTGCTTGTATAGAGTGTTGTCCACCTTTCTTCCTTCAACATCTTTCATCAGCTTTAAACTAAACTCAATTGGTGTGTTAACAGAATTGCAATTCTTCACCTGAAACCCGTCTAAAATTTCTTGCACATATTTCTTTTGAGAAATAAAAATACCGGCACGAGTTTGCACTACTTCTATGCTAAGAAAGTAGCACACCATTCCAAGATCAGACATTTCAAATTCAAGCATCATGTAGTGCTTAAATTTTTCAAACATGGCACCATCATTTCCAGTATAAATTAGATCATCCACATATAAGCAAACAATGAGCATTTTTCCTCTATCTCCAAATTTAATGAAAAGTGTGTGCTCATATGGACATTTCTGAAAACCTTCCTTTAAAAAAATAAGCTTCGATACGATTATACCAAACCCGTGGAGCTTGTTTTAGTCTATAAAGAGTTTTTTTTTTTTTTAATTTATACCCTTTATGCTCAATCTTGATATTACCACGAGGTTGATCAATAAATACATGTTCTTCCAAGTCTCCATGCAAGAATGCCGCTTTTACGTCCAACTGGAAAATAGGCCATGAGTTTTAAGCAACCAAGGCAATCACCAATCTGATTGTATCATACCTCGCAACCGAGGCAAAAACTTCTTTATAATCGACTCCGAATTTTTGCTACCAAATGCGCCTTGAACTTGTCAACTTCACCATTCTCCTTCAGCTTCGTCTTGTACACCCTCTGCACACCAATGGACTTTTGCCCTTTTGGAAGCTCCATCAGCTTCCAAGTATTATTTCTTTCAATGGCTGCGATTTCAACATCCATTGCCTTCCGCTACTTTAGTTCTTTAACGGCATCTTCATAAGCTACTGGGTCACAATCTGAAAATAAAGTAAAACGAGTAAGGGGATCGTCAGTTTCATCAGTTTGGTCAATCCTGGTGACCTCATAATCAGTCATCCTTGCAGGCCTCTTTCTAACTCGTCGAAGTCGTTGTTCATCTTCTGTTTCAGCGGCTGAAATGTGTTGACTGATTGCTGGTTGTTGCTCATTTTCTACCGGTTGCGCATTCTCCAAAGGCTGTTGCATTTCTTCTCCATTTTCTCCATCAAAATCAGCTTGTATTTGTTGTTCAGTATTATTTTCATCCCAAATCCAGAATTGTTCTTCATCAAAAATCGCATCACAACTAATGACAATTTTCTTGATTATAGGATTGTACAATTTGTAAGCTTTTGACTGCTCACTGACACCAAGAAAAATGCATTTTTCTCCTTTGTCATCAAGCTTTCTTCTTTTCTGATCTGGTATGAGGGCATACACAATGCAACCAAAGATTTTGAAGTGATCAACACTTGGTCTTCGTCCATTCCAAGCTTCTTCAAGTGTCACATTCTGAATAACAAGTATAGGACTTTTGTTTAGTACATGAATGCTCCAATTGACAGCTTCGGGCTAAAAAAATTTTAGGATACCACTTCTTGCGAAAATAATCCGTACCATGTTCAAGATTGTGCGATTCTTTCTCTACGAAACGCCATTTTGCTGTGGGGTATAAGCTGTAGTAAGCTACTTCTGAATCCCACACTCCTCACAAAAATTTATAAATTCTTGTGAGTTGTATTCTCCACCACGATCGCTGCGAAGAATCTTTATAGGCATGCATGCTTCTTTTTCAACTAGCGCCTTGAAGTTTTGAAAGCAGAAAAGGCTTCAGATTTCTCCTACAAAAAATAAACCCAAGTTTTCCGACTATAATCATCTATGAACGTTATAAAATAACGTTTACCACCATTTGATGTCGGATCAATGGGCCCGCATATATCGAAGTGAACTAGCTCCAGCACCTTCTTTGCTCTCCATGATTTTCCTTTTTGAAAATGATCTTGGTGATGTTTGCCAATGACACATTCTTCACATATTTGAGAATGACTTTGAATTTGCGGAAGACCTGTCACCATGTTTTTCTGTTGCAGCGTTTTTAGACTACCAAAATTCAGATGTCCATAGCGAAAATGCCACAATCAGGTTTCGTCCTTCAATCTCACAGAGAAACATGATTGTGTGGTGTTTTCAAGATACAGTGGAAACATCCGGTTTGTAGTCATGTTGACTCGAGCAATTAAACCCAATTTTTTCTCTTGAATGCGACAAACTCCATCTTTGATAGAAAGCTCATATCCCTTCTCTTGGAGTTGCCCAACACTTAGCAAGTTACTTTTCAGATTTAGAACAAAGAAAACATTAGAATAATCTGATTGCAGTTTTCTTTTGTGTGTATTTTTATACTTCCTTTACCCAGAAACTTTAGAATTGTTGCCAAAGGTTATGGTATTGCAGAATGATTCATCCAAATCTGAAAACATTGACTTGTCTCTTCACATATGGTTGCTACAACCGGTATCTAAATACCACAAGTTTTGGTGGACTTTTTTTTTCGCATGACAAGCCATCAAGAGAGAAACTTCTTCTTTCTCTACAAAATTAGACATTTCTCCATATTGTAGTTTGGCATTCAGACTTGTAATGACCATACCTATGACATGTAGCACTCTACATTGGACTTGTCTGCTGACCTTTGCTTGTAACCTTGTGAATGGCGACCATTACGTCCTCTTCCTCTACCTTGATGGTGTGAGTTGATTATCTTCAAAATTCTAATGTGACCTTCTGCGATCTTTGTTTTTTCTACCTCTACCTCTTCCTGTAGATCGATTCGGTGTAGAAGCATGATTATCAACTAAAGCCTTTAAAGCCTGTTCTTGTCTTGCTGGACAATTTTTCTTTCATGAACAATAAGAGAACTCTGCAATTTATCAATAGAGAGAGTATCAAGATCTTTAGATTCTTCAATCGAACAAACAACAAAGTTAAATTTTGGAGTTAATGTTCAAAGAATTTTCTCAACGGCAACATCTTCCGTCTTATCTCCGTAAATTCATAGCTTGTTTACGATTGCCATCGTCCTTGAGAAGAAATCATTAACTGATTCTCCTGACTTCATGCGCAAAGTCTCAAAAATCAATTCGTAGTGTCTAGAGTTGCACATGTTTTGATCTTGCTAATAATTGATACTTCTTCTTCATAGAATCCCAGATGTCATTGGAAGTGTTCATGCAAAGAATGGTTTCAAGTATTGAACGATCAATAGCTTCAAAAAGGTAATTCTTTGCTTTGAGATCCTTCAACTTTTGCCCTTCAAGTTCTGACCACTGTGCTTCAGCCACCACAGTGTTAGCTGCTGGTTCTGCTAAACCAGACTCTATGACATGCCAATACTCTTTTGATCTCAAAACATTTTCCATCAACATGCTCCAATGGTCATAGTGACCATCAAAGCATGGGATTGCTGCTTCAACAAAGCTTTCAGAAGTCATTTGCTACTGCAACGTCAAAATATAAAAAATAGAGACCCTGCCTTATGAAAGCTCTACTGCCTCTCTTGCTTTTTCGCGTGACTCTGTACTACTGATTTAAGCTCATTTTTCAAACTCCCTAATATTTTAGCTCCGATACCACTGATAAATAGGTAAAGGACATATAGAAGAAGACAAAAAGAATTGGAAGAGAAAACTGTATTTCTGCCTTACGTTGTTCATTGAGTAAACATCCTTTAAATAGGCAAAATCACAATGAATAATACCAAGAAAATAGTAACAAACTCTGACCACTAACTTAAGTTCATGTTTGGTACGGATTAAAATCTGATTTTAATCCAAGTCAAAATCAAACAATCAATATTAATCATATATTTCATGGGTTCCACGACTTTTCAACCACACATTTCAAAAACTTATATCACAATCTACTAAAAATCTAATTTTAATCTCCACCAAACACCCCCTAAACATGTAATCATGCAAACTTACTCCCACAGACCACTAACTACAACAATAAAACTGAAACAAATAAATACATGAAAGTGCCTAAGAAATAGGAAAAAGAAAAACAACCCATTATTGACCAAGTTATTCAACAGAAGCATGGTTCCTCAATAAGTAAATCACGAGGCACAAAAAAGGGATGCTTTATTATATTGTTCGTTAATTATAACCTTTTTCATCTGAACCATTAGGCTGATGAAACTGAATTTGATGATTAAATGCATGTAAAACTTCATATTTATAGTTTCAAACTGATTTTGCTTACTTTAAAGAGTCTGTACAAGGCCTTGCTGAGAAGAGAATAATTGTTTCCAGAGATCCATTTAAATTTTTTCTAGTTTCTATTATTTTTATTCTGTTCCACATGCCACACTTAATCCAACCAATTGTTGCATTTTCTAAGAGACAGAACATCATCCAATGCATAAGCCCACCACTGCAGTGATGCAACCCAGCCCCTCCCCCCCCAAGAAAGTTTACGCCCGTACTACAGAAAAATTCGAGGAAAATGAGCGAGCAAAAAGGTCAATGATCTACCAGAGGATGGAGGTGAACAAGTTGTGCCGACGGATTGCAAGACTGCAACTTTGGAGCAAACCTTCTGCCGGAATGCCGATTTCCGGAGTAGATAGGTCGATTTTGTCTTATTTAGGGGTTTAACAATTGGGAAATTAGGACCGATTAGGAATTTAGGCGTAAGATTGGTGGATGGGCTTTTAAAAAAAAATAAATAAATAAAAATTGTTAATTTCATTAGTAAGACATTAAATGGGTGTTTGGAAAGTATTAAAATTAGATTTTTAGTAGATTGTGATCAAAAAATTAAAATATGTGGTTGAAAAGTCATGAGACCAATGAAAAATGTAGTTAATATTGATTGTTTAATTTTGACTCAAATTAAAATTTAATTTTAATCCAAAACAAACTGGGAAGTATGATCTATTTCAAATATAAGAGATAAAGATTTACTTTTTTCAAAAATCATATATTAATTAAAATTTTATTTGTTAAATAATTAATTAAAATATTTTATTAATTAAATATATTAGGGGTCACAATATTACATAATTTATGGTCACAATTATATATTAGTCACAATTACAAACGTCACAGTGACAGATAACAAACTTTATATGTCACAATTTATTTTTCGATCACAAATCAAAATTTTTATGAATCACAAATTATTTCACGGTCACAAATTTATCAAATTAATAGCCACATATTATTTATTGGTTACAAATCACAAATTTTATAAATCACAACTTATTTTATGGTCACAACATATCAAATTAATTGGTCACAAATTATATTTAGGTTACAATTTATCAAATTATTGATCACAAATTAATAAATTTTTAGGTCACACAGTATTTATTGGTCACAATTTATTTATTTCATTAGTCCCACACCAACCAATTTAACAAAATCATTTGTGACTACCACCAAAGCTTGTGACTATCACCACACCGCTGTAACAGCCGAAACTACCGTCACCAGAACCACCAACACTACACTCTGACAACAAAACTATTGTCTCGAATACTGTAGCTAACATCACAACACCACCACTACCTACCCACAACCACCACCGCACCAAACACCATTAAACCACTGGACCACCCATCCACCAACTAAAAAAAATTCTTCAGCACCAACGCGATTTACACTACTGCAGCTGTCATATAGGCCGCTAGAGATCCACCACCACCATCTCACCACAAATCCACCACCACGCCCACAACATACAACCATTGCACACTGTACCACCTACAACACACCACCATCTCCATTTACACTACACCCCACCAAAAAATCCTCAAACTCGTCGTCGCCACCACAGTACACCATCACTGCATACAGAGTGGTGCCAGCGCGACGGTGATAGTTCTGTACACAATCGTTGTACGATGATCGTGTGCAGCAGTGCTGCTGTCACAACGAGGTGCCATTGCTCCGATCGTGTGCAACTGCTGTGTGCCCAAATTAGAAGCCATCACTGGGGTAGCCTTTTTTTACTTCTTGATGTCAGAGCCATCGGAGAGGAGAGAGAAAAGGAAGATGTGGGTCAATGACTTGGGTAGTTTATAGTTATGATTTAGAGAGAGAATATAGAGGAAATAGAGAGGATAATGAATATTATTAATATTAAAGATTTGAATGAATATCTAATTTTTGTATAAATAAATTTTAGATCTGATTTTTGAAATTGAATTTTTAAAATTATGGTGGAGTGTAATTTCCACAAAAAAAAAAAAAAAAAAAAAAAAATAAAAAAATGAAAATAAGAAAAAAAGAAACAAAAAAAGTAAATAATA